CCCTTCCATACCATCACTTGTGTTCTTGCATCCCTCCCATGTCACACTTGTGTTTTTGTACCCCTTCCATGCCATCACTTGTGTTCTTGCACCCCTTCCATGCCACAACTTCTGTTTTGCTTCCCTCCCATGTCATCAATTATCTTCTTGCATCCCTCCCATGCCATCACTTATGTTCTTGCTTCCCCTCCATGTCATCACTTGTGTTCTTGCATCCCTCCCATGCCATCAGTTGTGTTCGTGCATCCCTTCCACGTCATCACTTGTGTTCTTGCACCCCTTCCATGCCATCACTTGTGTTCTTGCATCCCTCCCATGTCACACTTGTGTTTTTGTATCCCTTCCATGCCATCACTTGTGTTCTTGCATCCCTCCCATGCCATCACTTGTGTTCTTGCTTCCCTTCCATGTCATCACTTATGTTCTTGCATCCCTCCCATGTCATCACTTGTGTTCTTGCATCCCTCCCATGCCATCACATGTGTTCTTGCACCCCTTCTATGCCATCCCTTATGTTCTTGCTTCCCTTCCATGTCATCACTTGTGTTTTGCGTCCCTTCCATGCCATCACTTGTGTTCGTGCATCCCTTCCATGACATCTCTTGTGTTCTTGCTTCCCTTTCATATCATCACTTGTGTTCTTGCATCCCTTCCATGTCATCACTTGTGTTCTTGCATCCCTTCCATGCCATCACTTGTGTTTTTGCTTCTCTTCCATGCCATCACTTGTGTTCTTGCTCCCCTTCTATGCCATCACTTGTGTTCTTGCTTCCCTTCCATGTCATCACTTGTGTTCTTGCATCCCTCCCTTGCCATCACTTGTGTTCTTGCATCCCTCCCATGCCATCACTTGTGTTCTTGCATCCCTCCCATGCCATCACTTATGTTCTTGCATCCCTACCATGTCATCATTTGTTATCTTGCATCCCTCCCATGCCATCACTTATGTTCTTGCATCCCTTCCATGTCATCACTTGTGTTCTTGCATCCCTCCCATGTCATCATTTGTGTTCTTGCATCCCTTCCATGCCATCACTTGTGTTCTTGCTTCCCTTCCATGTCATCACTTGTGTTCTTGCTTCCCTTCCATGCCATCACTTGTGTTCTTGCACCCCTTCCATGCCACCACTTCTGTTTTGCTTCCCTCCCATGTCATCAATTATCTTCTTGCATCCCTCCCATGCCATCACTTATGTTCTTGCTTCCCCTCCATGTCATCACTTGTGTTCTTGCATCCCTCCCATGCCATCATTTGTGTTCTTGCATCCGTTCCATGCCATCACTTGTGTTCTTGCTTCCCTTCCATGTCATCACTTATGTTCTTGCATCCCTCCCATGTCATCACTTGTGTTCTTGCATCCCTCCCATGCCATCACATGTGTTCTTGCACCCCTTCTATGCCATCCCTTATGTTCTTGCTTCCCTTCCATGTCATCACTTGTGTTTTGCGTCCCTTCCATGCCATCACTTGTGTTCGTGCATCCCTTCCATGACATCTCTTGTGTTCTTGCTTCCCTTTCATATCATCACTTGTGTTCTTGCATCCCTTCCATGTCATCACTTGTGTTCTTGCATCCCTTCCATGCCATCACTTGTGTTTTTGCTTCTCTTCCATGCCATCACTTGTGTTCTTGCTCCCCTTCTATGCCATCACTTGTGTTCTTGCTTCCCTTCCATGTCATCACTTGTGTTCTTGCATCCCTCCCTTGCCATCACTTGTGTTCTTGCATCCCTCCCATGCCATCACTTGTGTTCTTGCATCCCTCCCATGCCATCACTTATGTTCTTGCATCCCTCCCATGTCATCATTTGTTATCTTGCATCCCTCCCATGCCATCACTTATCTTCTTGCTTCCCTTCCATGCCATCACTTATGTTCTTGCATCCCTTCCATGTCATCACTTGTGTTCTTGCATCCCTCCCATGTCATCGTTTGTGTTCTTGCATCCCTTCCATGCCATCACTTGTGTTCTTGCTTCCCTTCCATGTCATCACTTGTGTTCTTGCTTCCCTTCCATGCCATCACTTGTGTTCTTGCACCCCTTCCATGCCACCACTTCTGTTTTGCTTCCCTCCCATGTCATCAATTATCTTCTTGCATCCCTCCCATGCCATCACTTATGTTCTTGCTTCCCCTCCATGTCATCACTTGTGTTCTTGCATCCCTCCCATGCCATCATTTGTGTTCTTGCATCCGTTCCATGCCATCACTTGTGTTCTTGCACCCCTTCCATGCCATCACTTGTGTTCTTGCATCCCTCCCATGCCATCACTTGTGTTCGTGCATCCCTTCCATGACATCTCTTGTGTTCTTGCTTCCCTTTCATGTCATCACTTGTGTTCTTGCATCCCTGCCATGTCATCACTTGTGTTCTTGCATCCCTTCCATGTCATCACTTGTGTTCTTGCATCCCTTCCATGTCATCACTTGTGTTCTTGCATCCCTTCCATGCCATCACTTGTGTTTTTGCTTCTCTTCCATGCCATCACTTGTGTTCTTGCTCCCCTTCTATGCCATCACTTGTGTTCTTGCTTCCCTTCCATGTCATCACTTGTGTTCTTGCATCCCTCCCTTGCCATCACTTGTGTTCTTGCATCCCTCCCATGCCATCACTTGTGTTCTTGCATCCCTCCCATGCCATCACTTATGTTCTTGCATCCCTCCCATGTCATCATTTGTTATCTTGCATCCCTCCCATGCCATCACTTATCTTCTTGCTTCCCTTCCATGCCATCACTTATGTTCTTGCATCCCTTCCATGTCATCACTTGTGTTCTTGCATCCCTCCCATGTCATCGTTTGTGTTCTTGCATCCCTTCCATGCCATCACTTGTGTTCTTGCTTCCCTTCCATGTCATCACTTGTGTTCTTGCTTCCCTTCCATGCCATCACTTGTGTTCTTGCACCCCTTCCATGCCACCACTTCTGTTTTGCTTCCCTCCCATGTCATCAATTATCTTCTTGCATCCCTCCCATGCCATCACTTATGTTCTTGCTTCCCCTCCATGTCATCACTTGTGTTCTTGCATCCCTCCCATGCCATCATTTGTGTTCTTGCATCCGTTCCATGCCATCACTTGTGTTCTTGCACCCCTTCCATGCCATCACTTGTGTTCTTGCATCCCTCCCATGCCATCACTTGTGTTCGTGCATCCCTTCCATGACATCTCTTGTGTTCTTGCTTCCCTTTCATGTCATCACTTGTGTTCTTGCATCCCTGCCATGTCATCACTTGTGTTCTTGCATCCCTTCCATGTCATCACTTGTGTTCTTGCATCCCTTCCATGTCATCACTTGTGTTCTTGCTCCCCTTCCATGCCATCACTTGTGTTTTTGCTTGTCTTCCATGTCATCACTTGTGTTCTTGCATCCCTCCCATGCCATCATTTGTGTTCTTGCATCCCTCCCATGTCATCATTTGTGTTCTTGCATCCCTTCCATGCCATCACTTGTGTTCTTGCTTCCCTTCCATGTCATCATTTGTGTTCTTGCATCCCTTCCATGTCATCACTTGTGTTCTTGCATCCCTCCCATGCCATCACTTGTGTTCTTGCATCCCTCCCATGTCATCACTTGTGTTCTTGCATCCCTTCCATGTCATCACTTGTGTTCTTGCACCCCTTCCATGCCATCACTTGTGTTTTTGCTTCTCTTCCATGTCATGGAAGAAAATAATCTCATGGAGATCCCGGGTTGGATACGTCCCCAGCAACCAAAGAGGCGACATAATAGATCGGGTGGTCAGGCTTGGTTGATTGTGTGTCAGCGTACTCTGATGACGTGTGTTATTGATCACAATATCAATCATTGAACTGTCTGGTCCAGACTCTATTATTTCCAGGCCGCTGCCATACAGCTGGAATGTTGCCGAATGCGGCGTTAAACAAACAAACAAACAAACAAACTCTCGTGTAAGGATTAATACCCCATTATCTCTGCCCTGCCTGCCCACACCCATCTCCGACTTTAACAACTTGCATCAATCATCACACTTTCCCGCTGTTTTGTTAATGTAATCAGCCAAATGTAACGAAGTGTGAATGGAACATACAGGTGTGAGCACGTCTGCCTTGTCGGGTCAGGGTACCTCGTTTAGGTATGTACATTAGCCATGATCAGCTTAGCGGGAAATGGAGCATGGCGCACCGATCCGAACCGACGTGTTCCAGTGCGGCTCGCTGCTCCCGTCTGTCGCCGTACCGGGAAGGTGTTGTCGTCTGCTCTCCCGTCACGTGCAGCTTGTCGGATGTTGACTCTTGACTCCGTATGATCCCCCCACTATACTGTGTCAACATATGTGTGCAGGATATTGCGGACTCCAAAATAATCGCATGTAGTCGATATTAGATTGTGGAATATAAAATGTATTGGTCAATTTAGCCAATGTGATCACATTGAATATGGAGATGGATGTGGTCAATGCTAAAAGCTATATTTGGGGTAGACTAACATTTAGTCTCTGAAATCTTATATTACACAATATCCTTCTTGACTCTAAAAATAAAAAAATTCCCTATGCTGATTTCAGAGCTAGCTTGAGCTGGCTAGACTTGCTTTTGTATGCATTTCTAGATTATTATTTTTGCATAAAATAAATATATTCCACGGTCATGGTGCAGGACTAAATTTGGGGATAATGGGATTATATTGCAGATTGACGTCGAAAGAAGTGAATCTCATATAGATATATTGTTTTCTTAGAAAATGATTACAGTATACAGTCAAAATTTGACTGTGAAAATATTGATGAACTGCCATAAGTTGTGCATATATATTGTCGTACCTCAAACTCCAGATATCAGAGATCGTAAAATAGATTATTAAATGGTCTTAGTCTGAAAAGTTTACAACACAATATATACCTCTGTCCATCCATCTGAAACGTTAACAACGCAAATCTCTTCCCCACTCTACAACTATTAAATCTCGTAGTGGTGTATAAAATGCCGCGGCTGTTTAACGACCAGACTCTGCCTGACTACCTCCCCCTCCCCTAGTCCTACCCGCTCCCGACACACGCCCCCTGCAACACTCTCCGGCGCTCCTACCCTGCGTGTTAAATCGAGATTGAGATGGCGAGTTTCTCCCCGTAAGGCAGCAATCGCTATCACAGCGACCAGCCGTTTCCTGGCACAGGGGCCACTTGAACCTCCAGCCATCACCCTCACTAGCGGATCCCCTCTCTACCCTCCGACTCCTCGCTGCCCCACACAGTACTTGCAGTAACGCTGTCGGTTACATCCTTTGTGTCAAGCTTTTGTGGAGTCGTCCTGACTATGTGTGTTTGAATATCGTGATGTCAACACCCTACTCCCAGTGACTAGCGTTATACCGCAGTGTTCCGCACAGGACAAGGATATTCGTTCATTGGATACATTGCAAGAAAGGCCCCACCGTAAGTTTTTTTTATTAATTTCGTACACTCATCATGACTCTATGAAGTACATTGGCATATATATATACATCTATCTCCCAATGTCAACAGACTTCCCCCCGCCTCTTACAACTGTGTAATGTGATCTCGGGTCGCCTATTTAACTAGACCATATTGCCTTCGCTCTACCAGGTTCGTTTACTTCCCTGTTTCTATATATGCTATAGTAAAGTGACGACAAGCAACCGATGAATACCGTCAAGAGAGTGATGTATATTTCAACGAACAGCTGATCGGAAAGCTTTCCAGCCACGTGTCCGGCAGATTGCATTACAGTTGAATCGTACAATAGGACAGCGTTGGGATGTTAACACAAAACAGATGAGTCAAGTGGAAACGTATTGACATACATGCTTATTATTCTTTCACATTTTCATCACTGGGATTGCTGTACCGAGTTGTTTTGCATACCGCTCATTTATCAGATTTACAAGCTATTTGACGCCGAGCTGCATTCGTACACGGACTATATATATGACGCTATAGCTTTTGGTCCTCTAAGTAATACATTTCAATGTTGATATGACATAATTTATTATATATTCGACATGTAGCGTCCTCATATGGCCGTCATTTCCTTGGTTCAGAAGGTGTACACACAGCGATCCATGGTGTGTGTGTGTGTGTTATTAAGGGGTTTATGGTATAGGCGTGTGTATTGTGAAGAAGGTACTCTACAAACACATTTAAACACACCACTAGACTTGCACACGTCTCTAAGGCAATAATTATTAGTTTAAATCATAATTTCTAGATTACATGTATGTAAATAATAACAAGTTGGCCCTCCGTATAAGAGACAGGAGTCTTAGTGAACTGACCACATATCTAGACTTGCCTATTAGGAAGATAGAATTATTACACATTTATGGACGTTTCTTTCAGTACAGCCTTGGAGCAAGGCTAAAAAACATATAATGACACACTTAAGGTGGGAAACATTGTAAGGTCCCCACCCACCCACACATGCTCACATACACTAAAGGTTAACATTCCACGACACCCCCCTCCCCCTCCCACCCTTTATACACACTGAGGTAACGACCCCACGACACACACATACACACACGCACGCACGCACGCGCACACACGCACAAGCATATACACAGGCACAACCAGGGCGGTCGGGTGGCCTAGTGGTTACAGCGTTCGCTCGTCACGCTGAAAACCCGGGTTCGATTCCCGACATGGGTACAATGTGTGAAGCCCATTTCTGGTGTCCCCCGCCGTGATATTGCTGGAATATTGCTTAAAGCGACATAAAACCATACCCACTCACTCACTCACTCACTCACTCACTCACAGGCACACCCACCCTTCCCCTACTTTAAATGTTACCATCCATAATATGACCCCCACACCACACTTCAAACAAAGCTTTCACTATCTGTTTCATTGATTCACGTTATTAGAACCTATCGATAATCTACAGTAATATCGATGTCAATAATACTGATATTTTAATTTTGCCTTGATCGATTACGATGCACCAATATTTCGATGCACCTTTGATATTATTTATGTACTAATATCCCCAAGGTTATATTTTATAACTGCCATTGATCCCATTACACTCAGCCGTGCAGTCATTTCGAGTCTAATTCGAACCGTGTAATTATATATTTGATCGTTCATATGTTTGCACTATTTATTGGTTCAGTTATTCTCAATTATTACTCATTAAACTATCCCTGTTTGATAACCACGCAGAGAAAATTATTCAAACACGCAGCGTCGTGTTTTATCATGTTCGGTTGTTTTGCTCATTCTTTTGAAAAATCAAAACTATTATTTGAAGTAGTTAATTTTTAACATCTCAAGCTAATGAAACTTTGCAGCCACGAATTGTTATATCTAAACAGTACGTTATAGGTGTTGAAATTAACATCCAGGTGATTGACGTGACCATGAACTTTTTCAGCAAAATGGTTTGCTATAGATGTTGAAATTGACATGCAGGTGGTTGACGTGACCATGAACTATACAAGCAAAATGGTTTGCTATAGATGCTGCAATTGACATCTAGGTGATTGACGAGACCATGAACTATTTCAGCAAAATAGTTTGCTATAGATGTTGAAATTGACATGCAGGTGGTTGACGTGACCATGAACTATGCAAGAAAAATGGTTTGCTATAGATGCTGCAATTGACATCTAGGTGATTGACGAGACCATGAACTATTTCAGCAAAATGGTTTGCTATAGATGTTGAAATTGACATGCAGGTGGTTGACGTGACCATGAACTATTTCAGCAAAATAGTTTGCTATAGATGTTGAAATTGACATCTAGGTGATTGACGAGACCATGAACTATACAAGCAAAATAGTTTGCTATAGATGTTGAAATTGACATCTCGTTGATTGACGTGACCATGAACTATTTCAGCTAAATAGAATGCTTAAGGATACAACATACTTGATATTCTGGAGGGTGTATAATACCACACCACCTCCAGAACATCAAGTATTTTGTATACTTTATGAATATACCTAGGCGTATCCACACACTATTGTGTGTTATAATGTGACATGGATCTGTTGCGATATCTCAAACCACCATCTCTAAAAGCCGATTCGAAATATTCCATTAACATAAAGAGTTTCAAATGGACCACACTTTAAGAATAGCGAATCAAAGTTAACTCCAACGCTTTTAACTTGATGTAAGGTTTAATCGACGCAATGGTTGAGGCAGAATTCTCCTTGGCACTATAAAGTGTAATATCGGTACCGTTTGTTTCGGACTACGACTAACACATTTCCGCTATATTTCCGAATGTCCCGGGACTTCAAAACACATTTCCGATATATTTCCGAAGGTCCCGGGACTTCCAGACGCATTTCCGATATATTTCCGAAGGTCCCGGGACTTCAAAAAGCATTCCGATATATTTCACTCTATACACTCTACCTCTCTTTTTGAATATTTGATATAAGGACTAAAAACAGTCGAGAGTCCTTTAAACTACTCCATGTTGTAACAGAAATACACCACCAAGATACACATACCAGTGGGGAGCTCTAATGTTTATGCAAGGCTGCAATACGCCTTCATGATACTCTACGATCTCATATATATATATACGAGGGGGGTATTTCCAAAGCTTCCGTGATGTTAGTTGGTCGATAGTGGATTCATTCCGGTCTCTGTCTGAAGTAAATACTTGTTCAATTAAGGTTCTCGGTGGTCGAGTCATAATTAAAGGAGGACAGTCGATGACAATGTCAACATCCACTTCTCAGGTAACAACGTCATCCTTCACAGGGTGGTCATGGTAGCTGATAAGCCTCGGAGAGCCTCCAGCACAAGGGAGCGATCAGTGCCGTAGATTTTAAAGATTGTTGCCTTGATTGATAACCTGTATAAGCACTGTAGATTCCTGAAGAATGTGATGGTTAGTGGGTATTGCTAGTTCCGCAGATTCCTGATGTCTGCGTTAATGGCTAGTGTTATTAGTACCGTGGATTCCTGAAGACTGCGTTAATGACTAGTGTTGTTAATACCGCCGATTCCTGAAGACCGCCTTTATGGCTAGTGTTGTTAATACCGCCGATTCCTGAAGACTGCCTTTATGGCTAGTATTGTTAATACCGCCGATTCCCGAAGACTGCGTTAATGGCTAGTGTTGTTAATACCGCCGATTCCTGAAGACGGCGTTAATGGCTAGTGTTGTTAATACCGCCGATTCCCGAAGACGGCGTTAATGGTGGGTATTGTTTATACCGCCGATTCCTGAAGACTGCGTTATTGGCTAGTGTTGTTTATACCGCCGATTCCTGAAGATTGCCTTAATGGCTACTGTTGTTAATATCGCCGATTCCCGAAGATTGCGTCTATGACTAGTGCTGTAAATGATAAGCCGTCTATACTGTAGATTCCCGAAGACTGCGTTAATGATCAGCTATGTCAGTACTGTTGAATATTGAAAACAGCGCCCTTGTCTACTGATTGAAGCGCTTATATCGGGGGTACTGGGCATGGGGCATAACCTCCAGTTCAACACGTGTATATGTTTACCCGCGGGCAAGCTCTAAGTCAGCAGTATACACTTCTAAGTGGCACTGTTTTGGATGCCTGATTCATCAAATGTCCACATACATGTATCAACATTGTAGACACCAGCGTTCTCGTTCAAGATTAATGATGTATATTTATACCGTGTTTACGGCAAGCCAAGGGTCGGACTAAGGTGAAGACAGAACGTGTGATATCTTGAAGAGTGTTCTCTGCACAGCCAGATTGATGGTGTATACAATGACGATAGATGTTGGAACTGATACTGTGCATGTCCGTGATGGATCAGCCTGGTGCATCAATTGTACCTGAGAACATTCACTCTGCATCAGTTGTACTCGAGAACGTCACTCTGCATCAGTTGTACCCGAGAACGTCACTCTGCATCAGTTGTACTCGAGTTCGTCAATGTACATTCGTTGTACCTGAGAACGTCACTCTGCATCAGTTGTACTCGAGAACGTCACTCTGCATCAGTTGTACTCGAGAACGTCACTCTGAATCAGTTGTACTCGAGAACGTCACTCTGCATCAGTTGTACTCGAGGTCGTCAATGTACATTAGTTGTACTCGAGAACGTCACTCTGCATCAGTTGTACTCGAGAACGTCACACTGCATCAGTTGTACCCGAGGACGTCACTCTGCATCAGTTGTACCCGAGGACGTCACTCTGCATCAGTTGTACTAGAGGACGTCACCCTGCATCAGTTGTACTAGAGGACGTCACTCTGGATCAGTTGTACTCGAGAACGTCACTCTGCATCAGTTGTATTCGAGAACGTCACTCTGCATCAGATGTACTAGAGGACGTCTGTATGCCTCAGTTGTACCCGAGGACGTCACTCTGCATCAGTTGTACTAGAGGACGTCACTCAGCATCAGTTGTACTCGAGAACGTCACTCTGCATCAGTTGTACTAGAGGACGTCACTCTGCATCAGT